ATTTGACTCAATTTTTACGTATTTCAAGAATCTTACCAAGTAAAATGTTCTTACTCCATTGGCAGAAATTTTTGATTTAATTGAGTCAAATTTTCAGACTAACAAGACAAATAATCTTACACATTCTGAAAACAAGATTATTATTCTTACACAATCAGTTCTTGTTTAGTAAATCAGTCTCAAAACAAGATCAAAAAGACTTTTTGGCTGATATAAGATTTTAAAACTTGGTAAGATGGACAGTTTTTGCAGTGTATATTAAGATTTCCCAGTTGGAAAGAAACAAAAACATTGCTAACTCACTGGGAAAAATTTAACATTTCAAGGCGTTTTTCCTCAAAATCAGGTTTTTTTGTTGCTACTGCTCAAAAAAATGCTTCAAACCTTTTTTTTTAGGATTATATTTCAGACGGCTCGTTCAAATGATACATTGATAAGGCATTAATTCAATATGTTTTGACAAAATGCAATTTTTGCACACATTTAAATCAAAACCCTGTCTTATTTCTCCACTTTTGGATTTAATCCTGTTTCGATGTGATGGCTCACATATACGATTGATATTTAAAAGATCAACCTAACTTGTGCTTATTCTTCTCTTCTTTTCCCCCCAGGTTCATCTGGCGTCCCAGTAAAGCTTGGATCCAGGGGTCAGAGGTCAACTAGAACCTGCACTTGTCCCCCTTATCCCCGCACCCCCACCTCACCTCCTTCCCCAACCCCTGATCCGCTCACGGCCCCTCCATCGTCTGTCCTCTCCCCCGAGTTTTACCCCCTTACACGTGTACCTGTGAGCTTCACTTCCTGTTAGAAACCCCCCCAGCCCCCACCCTCAGAGAGTGGTTGTTGTTCTTTTCATGAGCAGAGATCAGCTGTTCTCCACACTCTTCTAGACCCAGATAACGCCTCTCGCTCCCAGGCCTCAAGATGATGTGTGAGGTGATGCCCACCATCTCCGAGGACGGGCGAGGCGGCGGGGCGGGCGGCTCGTCCTCCCCGGCGGGCGGAGGAGGAGGAGGAGGGATAGGCGGCGGGATGGGAGGCTACGGCGGCCGAGACCCCCGTGGCGTTGGAGGAGGTGGAGGAGGAGGAGGAGGAGGGGGCGATGAAGGAGGAAGCACGGGGAACCTGGAGTCCCTGATGGTCAACATGCTGACGGAGAGGGAGAGGCTGCTGGAGAGCCTGAGGGAGACGCAGGACAGCCTGGGCACGGCYCACCTTCGGCTGCGAGAGCTGGGACACGAGAAGGAGTCTCTGCAGAGGCAGCTGTCCATCGCCCTGCCGCAGGTACGGGCACTCAGGAGGGACAACAACCACAGAAACACCCTTCGCACACATGGCAACCATTCGCTCCGGTCAAAAATCACACGTCGCTCAGAAGGTTTGAATCCCAAACTATAAATGTTTTTCTTATAAATAAACAGCTTTAAAAAGATGCAACAAAACATCTGAGCTGGAAAAGTTCAAACTAAATCATTTCACTGCACAGATTTAACATCATTTAACCCGTCGTTATCAAAGGCACATGGCTGATAATGGATCTGTTCGCAAAATATCTCTGGAGGGATTTCATCTTATGCATGTTAGCTGACACAAAATGAGTCAAACTCAAATCATTTTAGTTATTGAGCATATTGATTTGACCGGAATGTTTCTTGGGCTAGGATTTAATTAACTTAGATTTTATCCCTTTCTTAACCAAATACTGATTGAGGAACTCATCAGTAATAARTAGACTTTGGCTTTTAGATCTGAACCATGTTTAGACACAAATTATTTTGTTTTCCATCTAATGACATCATTTTACATCATTTAAGTGATTCGTGCACGTTGACTGACGTGTGTTGAAGACCTTCCTTTAGCATCAGTCTCCAGATTAAACCATAGTTTAGTGTAAGCTGAGCGTCGGACAACCAGAACACTGAGTCCAGTTCTGAGTGAAAATCTGAGGATGAGAGCTGAGCGACAGAAAGATGTCAGCTTTATATCCCATCATTTGTTGCATAAATCATCTCAGAGTAAAGACTTGTTCCTGTGGATTTATGGAAGTCAATTCAAAAAATATGTAAAATGTAAACATGACGAGCTGCAGGTAACGATCCGGACAGCTCTGAACAGAACTGGTTCAGACCTCTGAGTAATCTGGGTTTTAACGCTGCAACTTTTTTTTTTGCTTTAATTTAACAAACAAGTTGATTTGTTCTCAGACAACAGAGTTTGTTAATTCATGTTTTTTTCTTTATAAATAGGAAGAAATGTTGAATTAAGCTAAAAAAATGTGTTTTTATGACAGAACAATTTATATCTTTGAATGTTTTCACTTTAGATCAGATTGTTTAAGGTATAATTGCTTCATTTTTTAACATACAGGTCAAAAGTGATTAATGAAATAAATAATTAACAATTATTCATCAGTTGTTTTAGTC